TTAATTGATGTTATTTGTTAATGTCAAACCTAATTGATCTAGGACATCTTGTCCCCATAAATTTACAGGGAGATGATCCAATACATATGGTTGTATAGTTCCTTCACATCCTTCAAGATCCTTCCAATCTAATACCATTGCACTTCTATGGGGATTAGTCGCCACTCTTAGGCCTCGAAGCGTTTGAATGGCTTGTTGTAATGGCCAATGTTTTGGCCATTCTTGATGAGAGATGATGCTAAGGTCTGCACCTGTATCCAGTAGCCCATTAAATTCATGTCCTTGAATATTTAGTTTTAGCATGGGGCAAGAATCTAAATTTAAAGAAAGCATAGCCCAATCTACACCTGTGGAGCCTAATCCCTTGGAACCTCTTTCTACAGTATGACTGGAAAATTTATCATGTAGGCTGGGTATTATTAGTAACTGTGCTATTCTATCTCCTGGTGAAATTACTGATATACCCTTTGGAGAACTGGCTATAATTTTTATTTCACCTTCATAATCGGGATCAATTACCCCAGGACTTATCATAAGTCCTTTTAGAGTAGAAGAGCTGTGTCCCAATAATAAGCCTATTGTTCCTTTGGGAAGAGGTCCTTTTACCCCTGTGGGAATGATTTGAACTCCCATCTCTGGAGTTAGTACTGCTCTGGCGGAGGCGCAGATGTCCAACCCTGTGCTTCCTCTGGTTTGTCTGATGAGGGATCTGATGGACAATGTGTCCTGGGCACTACCCTGATGGGGTTGTTGGGTTCCTCCAGTGCTCCGTATATTTGTGGTTTTGGGCCCCGGAGCATTGGGCCCCCTTGTCCATTTTTTGGCAATGGAGCCCGATGCCTTTCTCCACGATATCGTGGATAAACATCTGGTCCTTGTTCGTTTTTTGATAATGGAGTACCCTCTATGGTGGTTTGAGAACAGCATTCATTAGCCCAATGTCTCCCTCTATGGCATCGTGGGCAAATACCTGGTATTCTACTCCTTTGATACCTAGTTTTGTTAAACCCTCCTCCTATGGGGCAATTCCTTTTAAAATGTCCTGTTTGTTCACAATTGTAGCATGTTCTTGGCCTGGCATCTAAAGCCTGTTTTACTGCAGCTGCCACGACTTGCTCTTGTTCATTAAGGTCTCTACATAATTTAATATATGTGTTTAAATCTTCATGTTTCCATGGTCTAATGACTTCTCTGCACCAACGATTCGCTTGCTCATAAGCCAATTGTTTTATTAATGGTATTCCTTGTTCTGTATTCCCAAAAACTCTGGTAGCTGTTTGAATAAGCCTATCTACAAATTCAGCGTTAAGATTCATTAGCTCCTTGTATTACCTTAGATAATTGACCTTGTAAACCTCCATGTCCTTGTAAAGTCTTCCATGCCCTAACTGCCTCTGCAGCAATTTGTGTGTATACGCCAGGATCATATGCAATTTGTTGCTGCTGATCCTCATAAGGTCCCTTTCCTAACAACATATCTAGATTTCTCTGAGGATAACCAGCTGCTACATTTCGCCTAGCCGTCTCCTTGCAAAATTCCTCATTGGCAACCTTCCATAACAGGTATTGTCCTCCATTTAGCACAGCTTTACACATATTAGCCCAATCTGCTGGCATCATGTTCAAGTTGTTAATGGATTCGACCAAGCTTACAGTGAAGGGTGCTTGAGGACCACAGGTTGTTACAGCCTCTTTTAGCTGCTTCACTGTTTTTGAAATTTAAAGCATGGTGAATTCGCTGCCCTCCTACCTCAAATACAGGGCATGTTAATATTTGAGATCCTGTCTCAGGATCCCAACTATCAACTGCGGGGGTTGGGAGCCTCCCAGCATATGGAGGTAGTGCTGTTGGTTGGACATTTACGCCCTCTGGTGATAGAAAGGTGTTAGTAGCAGTCTCCTATAAAGGTGGTGCTGTTGGTTGGACACTTACGCCCTCTTGTGATAGAAAGGTGTTAGTAGCAGTCTCCTTTTGTAACTTTCCCCCTGATGGCTTTTTCTGCTCTAAGCTTTCTTCCTCTATCTTTGTCTGAACTGAAGGCTTTGGACTAATCAAACCAAATACCAACGTCCACAATGGCAATGTGCCAACTGGCAGAGTCCCTGGGCTTTTCTTTTCTATTCTTTTTAAATCTTCACCATGATGGTTCCATTGTGATATATTCAACAACTCCTCCTTAAAAAGCCATGGGCTACATTTTTGTATTGTATCAACGTATGCCCTGACTGCTCTTGATTTTACTGGGATGCTTCCTTCCTCTAACAATTTACTTAACACTCTTTCGGTTTGTTTTTTACTAATTTCTGATCCCATATTTCTACTGTAATACAACCCAACAAGATAACACCAAATAAAACCGAGACAGAATGAAATAAAAATGGAACCACATGAAATCATTATAGCCTTTCTATCCTCCTGAAATGTCCATCCGTCCTTTCTCCCTATCTGTTCCTCAGATGCAAATAGTTTTTCCTCAGATGTGAGCGGTTTTCCTTCCATCTCACTCATCTCCAGACACAGGCAACTTAAAACAAAAGTGAAGCAAAACAAAAGAGGAATCTTAAAATGGCTACCCATCCTCTCGCCCTGCCCTCAGGGGCGAGCAGTTTACCTTATCACTTACCCTCAGTCGTTCCGTCCCCGTGCAAGCCACCAAATGCCGCAGTCTGGCTGGGAACAATTCAGGAGCCACTTGTCAAAAGAAACGAACTTTATTTTTAGAACCACACTCACCAAACAAAACAGCTCCTCAGGACTTACCTTCAGAGCCCAACTGCCACAACCAGCTTCCCACAAGCCTCTCAACCTCCCCCACTCCTCCTGCTCTTGAGGCCGATTGGCTGGGTCGTGTGGGCGGAGCCAAAAAAGTCCCCCAATGAGCAGCTCCGTAGTCTGAAAGGGCAGGGAAACAGCCCAATGAGTATCACCGCAGAGGAGCCAATCAGCTAGAAGTTGCTGGGGCCACTGTGAGCCAATCATCAGCTGGCAGTCTGAAAGTTTGCTGGGGCCCCTTCGGCTGTGGCTCTCAACAACACGGCAATCTGATTTTCCTGCCCTTGAACTGTAAGAAATACTGTACAGATGATAGCTATAATTAATTCAATAGGGAAATCTAAGTTGAAATTACAATTGAAGAGAATTGCTATCCCACTGAAAACGAATTTCATTCTTCTCAGAACTGTATCACAAAAGAAGAACTCTATCACAGTATTATCAATATCTACCCAAAAAAATTCTTAAAGAAAAAGCTAATGTATATTAATGTGCATTTTGTTTTAAACATTTAAGAAAATCTAAAAAAGCATGCACAAAAATCTGGTTTGAAGGAAATGTACATCTTTCGCTATATCACGGGCATATACAAATATGTAAAAATGAATTTCACCATTATGTGTAATCATATGTGCCAATACTATGGAAAAAAATATGCCATCAAACTGTGAAAAATATAAAATCCATGTAAAAATGTCATTTTCCCCTGAGAAGAAACATACACAAGTATACGTGTACCTGTATATATAAAATTACAAATTGTAATATAAAATGAATTGTATTCTGCCATAATGTATAATAAATTAGAATAAATAATTTAATAAAAAAAGACACTATTACATTTGCTACCTGCCCCCCCCAAAAAAACTACATATAAATGAAGTCTAATGGCATATTAGAAATACATATCAAATTGCTTTGGAGCCAACATGCTTCAAAATGTTAGAAGACATACTACCAGATTTGATTCAAAATATAGTACCTATTAAACTCAGATAGTACAGCCTACCTAAACAAAACTTAGAAATGTTCCACCTCAATCTTTATTTCAAAGAATCCAGATTAGAAACACACAGTGCAGAAATTACTTTAAGAATGAATTACTGGTCAAAATAATATAAGTTTTGGGAAATCTCTAGGTAGTACAGTTTCTGGAGACTTCTAAACTAATTATTTTGCACCAAGTTCTTCATATCAATTGCACATATAGAATTCTGCTACATGAAGAAGTTTCATAGGCCTCTGAAACTATCTTACAACAGGAGAATTCTCTTCTGAGAATATTTCACATTCACAGGGTTTTAATCCACTGTGACTTCTTACATGTGAACCAAATGTAGATCATTGAACATGACTTCTATTGCAGGTTCCACTGCATACTGTGTTCATTTATAGGAGTATCCTGAACCAAGATGACAAGCATTCCCATATCCTTTGCAATAATAAAAGTTATTGCACCTGTATTCTCATGTTTGCAACAAAGTTTATTCCCACTTTTCTATATTCACAGTTACTCTCCAGTGTGTTCTTCCGTGTAGTTGAAGCAATCTGAGAAAAAGACGGTTTCACATTGCTGATATCATTAAGGTTTCTCCTCCGTGTGAATTGTTTCATGGTATCAAAGGGAACTGTGAGGGGCTAGGGATATAGCTCAGTTGGTAGAGTGCTTGCCTTGCATATAGAAGGCCTTGGGTTCAATCCCCAGCACCACACACACACACACACACACACACACACACACACACACAAAGGGAACTGTAGTGAAGGCTTTCTCACTTTGTTTACACTCATGGAGTTTCTCTCAAAAGTGAATCCTTGATGTTTGAGAAGGTAACTGGAGGGAGTGAAGGCTTCGCTGCTTTCTTCACACACACAGGGTTTCTCTCCATTGTGCATTCTTTCTGTGTGGAGGAATCACTGGAGGATTTCCCACACTGCTCTCATGCATGTTTTCATTTCACTGTGAATTCTTTAATGTTGTTTGAGGGGACAGGGATAACTGTAGGCTTTGCCACATTGCTTTCATACACAGGGTTTTTCTCTGGTGTACATTATTTCGTGTCTTCTGATTGAACAGGACTGAATGAAAGCTTTCCCACACTGTTTACATGTATAGGACTTCTCTTCCCTGTGAATTCATTCATGTGCTTTGATGGGGCTAGAAGAACTAAAGCCTATTTCACATATAGGGTTTATCTCCAGTGTTTTCTCACGTCTTTTGATAGCATCAGAATGACTGAATAGGGTTTCTATCCCTTATGAATCCGTTCATGTTTTCTAATGGAGCTGGAAGAACTAAAGGTTTTTCCACATTGTTTACATATGTAGGGTTTCTTTCCACTATGAATCTGTTCATGAATTTGAAGGGAATTGGGAAAACAAAAGGCTTTTCCACATTGCTTGCATTCATAAGGTTTCTCTCCACTGTGAATTCGTTCATGGATTTTAATATAATAGGTAGAACTAAAGGCTTTTCCACATTGCTTACATACACAGGGTTTTTCTCCACTGTGAATCTGTTCATGTGTTTTCATGCATCTAGAAGTACTAAAGCCTTTTCCACATTGCTTACATATATAGGGTTTCTCTCCACTGTGAAGTCGTTCATGTTTTCTAATGGAGCTGGAAGAACTAAAGGCTTTTCCACATTTCTTACATACATAAGGTTTCTTTCCGCTGTGAATTTGTTCATGAATTTGAAGGGAATTTGGAAAATGAAAGGCTTTCCCACATTGATTGCATTTATAAGGTTTCTCTCCACTGTGAATTCGTTCATGGATTTTAATGTAATAGAAAGAACTAAAGGCTTTTCCACATTGCCTACATACACAGGGCTTCTCTCCACTGTGAATCTGTTCATGTTTTCTAATGGAGCTGGAAGAACTAAAGCCCTTTCCACACTGCTTACATACAAAGGGTTTCTCTCCATTGTGGGTTATTTCATGTATTTGAAGGGATCTGGGGAAATGAAAAGCTTTCCCACATTGTTTGCATGTATAAGGTTTCTCTTCACTATGAATGCGTTCATGTGTTTTCATATGGTTAGAAGAATTAAAGCCTTTTCCACATTGCTTACATACATATGGTTTTATTCCACTGTGAATTTGTTCATGCATTTGAAGAGAACTGAGAAAAGGAAAGGCTTTCCCACATTGTTCACATGTATAAGGCTTCTCTCCACTGTGAATTCGTTCATGTTTTCTAATGGAGCTGGAGGAAATAAATTGTTTCCCACATTGCTTACATACATAGGGTTTCCTTCTAGTGTGCGTTATTTCATGTCTTTGAAGGGATCTATGTAAATGAAAAGCTTTCCCACATTGTTTACAAACATAGGGTTTCTCTCCACTGTGAATTTGTTCATGGATTTTTATGTAATAGGAAGAACTAAAGACTTTTCCACATTGTTTACATACACAGGGTTTCTCTCCACGGTGAACTTGTTCATGGATTTTAAGGCGATAGGAAGAACTAAAGGCTTTTCCACATTGCTTACATACACAGGGTTTCTCTCCACTGTGAATTCGTTCATGGATTTTAATATAATAGGAAGAACTAAAGGCTTTTCCACAGTGCTTACATACACAGGGTTTCTTTCCACTGTGAATTTTTTCATGTGTTTTCATGTATCTGGAAGTGCTAAAGGCTTTTCCACATTGCTTACACACATAGGGTTTCTTTCCACTGTGAATCTGTTCATGAATTTTAAGGGAACTGGGAAAACGAAAGGCTTTGCCACATTGTTTGCATTTATAAGGTTTCTCTCCACTGTGAATTCGTTCATGAACTTTAATGTACCTAGAAGAACTAAATGCTTTTCCACAGTGCTTACACACATGGGGTTTCTCTGCTGTGAGAGTTCTTTCATGCTTCTGAAAACACTGGGGATCATGGAAGGCTTTCCCATGTTCCTTATATTCATATGGCTTCCCTCCATGTTCCAGATACCCATGTGCTTTGTGTCTAACATGAGCTGTCTGGGGCACGGCTAGGGATGAATCTGCAACGAGGACATCTCCACACACATGGTGTTCACTTGGTTTTACTCCAAAAGAACTTCTCTTGTTTATAAGAGGATCTAAGATCTGGCTGAATATTTCTCCATACTGATTATCTTCTTTCTGTTCCCAGAGTCTCTCAATCACTTGAATTCTGCAAAGAACAGAAACTACATTACTAAGGATTTACTTATTAATGATCTCTGTTGTGTGAGCTTTACTATTGAGCTACATTCCAGTCCTGTTAAAGTTATTTTTCATTTTTTGAAACAGCCTCTCAGTAAGTTGCTCAGGGGTTCACTAAGGTGCTGGCCTCCCACTTGTGATCCTCCTGCCTCAGTCTCCCAATCGCTGAGATTACAGGTATGCACTACCAATTACCTTGGGGTTCTAAATACTCCTTCCAAGTAATGTATTTTTTTAATCCTGAAGATGTTTATCAAATTACAAAAGAGTACTATTTATGTGAAATGCATGGGACAAAATTCAGATAAGATACCTTCAAAATGGGTCCCACTTGAGGGTAATTTCATACATATCCAGTAATTTGTGTATGGAACACAGTATATAATATATATATAAAATAAATTATCAGAAAGTGTCACTTAAGACATCAAATGGTTCCCATACTGGAACATTTTGGATCTTGAACTTTCCCACTCAAACTGTATGTATTGTTAAAAAAAAAAAAAAAAGACAAAAACAAAAACAAAAAACAGATTAAATCATGGCATGTATATTTTCCTTCTCTTCATGACTTTTTTTTTTTTTAAAGATTTCCATTTCTTTTTTTCTTTTAAGAGAGAATTTTAATATTTATTTATTTTTGTTTTTTAGTTTTTGGCGGACAAACATCTTTGTTTGTATGTGGTGCTGAGAATCAAACCCGGGCTGCACACATGCCAGGTGAGCGCGCTACCACTTGAGCCACATCCCCAGCCCTCTCTCTTCATGACGTTTTTATACATTACTCCAAGATTTATGAGGTACATTGCCTTACCTTGTGAGTTCAATTACCTTAGATTTCTCCAGGAAATATAGTGATCATCGATGGCCTGATTTTTCCAGTGTTTTCCTAAAATGCAGACCCAGAAACATCATTGTCAGTTCAACATTACATAAAAATTATCAGTGTCTTGTAGATCTGTTGAATAATGTCATCATGCCAGTATAGTCATCAGAATGTGAACCTTCCATATTCCAGATCATGGAACAGAACTGATAGGCAAGTAAAAACCATTCTCTGATTGACAAAGTGAGGGAAAAAATGTCACCCTTACCTATAGTGGTCAGGTTCCAGAAGGTTTCCTGCATCACATCTCTGAAGAGCTTTTTCTGGGAAGGATCCAGCAGAGCCCACTCCTCCAGGGTGAAGTTCACAGCCACATCCTCAAAGGTCACCGACTCCTAAAATATCCCACAGGTATTCCAAGGAGGAAAATGAGACATACTGCAGACCTACACTCAGTTTGTGAGAATCTCATATGGTACTGTGTCTCCCAATACTCCATCACTTGGGTGTCACACTCTTACTCTCCAGCCAGGCTCACATCCTCTCACATCAATTCTGATGCTGGATCATATCTACTTGTTAGAGTAACAAAAAGAACAGGAACTCTGGCTGTGCTCCTGGATCACTCCAATTCTCTTTGTACACTCATCTCTAGCCCTTCTCACCACAAAGTCCAACATGTGCTGCACGTAATATCAGTAGCTGTTAGGAGACAGCATATTCTTAGAAATACTTGAGGACAAACTTTGATCTTTGTTGATATCTGGGAACTACTGTTAGTATGACCCTCACCAGCATAACTGTAAAGAGGGAATTGGATTCCTAAGCAGGTTATCCCAACAAAATTCAGCCTGTTTAAATCTTCTTGCTCCTCTACATGTTTGTGAGACTTTGACATGCTTGTTAGATGTTGCCTATCTCATTATCCCCTGAAATACACCTGGGTGATGAATCTTTAGTGAACTGGATCAGATTTTAAAACTCTTTTTTTGGCTAGGGATATAGCTCAGTCGGTAGAATGCTTGCCTTGCATGCACAAAGCCCTGGGTTCAATCCCCAGCATCACAAAAACAAAACAAAACCTCTTTTTACAACTCTTTATTTAGGGAATTAAGCACATCATTTGGGGTTACACTAAGGCACCATAACTGGAAGCCTGTATGTTAGTTTCTGTACATCCACAAGAATATAATAGTAAATAAGACTCATGAAGGATAACTCAGTATACTCATAGGTAATTATTAAGATTTTTGTTGGAGAATGTCAAAGCTGAATAAAATAAGGGGAAAAGTGGTACATGTTCTTAAAAAGATTTCAGTGTCACCAAGGTGTCACCTCTCACAGGACCTATAAAAATTGCAAAAATGCTAAAAACAAGTCCTTTTCCTAGGAAAACAAAAACTAGGTCATGCCTGGTACAGTGGCACACTCCCATAATCCCAGTGACTTGTATATAGTGAGACCCTGTTTCAAAATATTTTAAAAAATAAGATAAAGGAATAAATTCTGGGCCTGGTGTGGTGGACCACGCCTGTAATCCCAGTGGCTCAGGAGGCTGAGACAGGAGGATCATGAGTTCAAAGCCAGCTTCAGCAATGGCAAGGCACTAAGCAACTCAGTGAGACCCCGTCTCTAAATAAAATACAAAAATAGGGCTGGGGATGTGACTCAGTGGCCAAGTGCCCTGAGTTCAATCCCTGGTACCAAAAAAAAAAAAAGAAAGAAAGAAATTAATTTTGGGGCTGGGGATATAGCTCAGTTAGTAGAAGGCTTGCCTTGCATGCACAAGGCCCTGGGTTCAATCTCAGCACCACAAAAAAATTTAAAAAAAATAAAAGTTTTAAAAAAGGCTTAGGATGTGGCTCAGTGATTTAGGGCCTTTGGCATCAACCCAAACCAACAAGAAAAAAGAAAAAAAAAAAAAAAGGAAGAAAACAAAGGCAAAAAACTAATTTATGAAAGCCTCTGGGCATAATGAACCTCTAATGATATTTAAATTCGTTGGAATAAGAGAGTGATAATTTTATTGCTCTTTTAAATTAGGAAACACTCTATTTTATTTTTTAGTTGTAGTTGGACACAATACCTTTATTTTATTTATTTTTATGTGGTGTTGAGGATCAAACCCAGGGCCTCGCATGTGCTAGGCAAGCGCTCTACCACTGAACCACAACCCCAGCCCCAAGGAAACATTTAAGTAATTACATTTAAGTAATTACCATCAATTCATATTTAAGTAATTACCTTAAATGTGAATGTTCTGCAGAAAGACTGGCAGAAAACAAGCTGTTAATGAGGGTCAGGACACCAATATCTGAAAGCAATACTTTATTCATGGTGTCACAGCCCAGAGAGATAAATCCCAAAGTCTGAGCACTGAGCACAGCAGGGCCATTACTTTATATAAGCATGTTTGGGGTACATCAAGGCAAGGGAGTTGGTGCAATTCTATTGGAAGGTGTATTCTACATTTAAAAAAATTTTTTTTTTGAAATTGTAGATGGACAGAATGCCTTTATTTTATTTGTTTCTTTTTATGTGGTGCTGGGATCTCACCCAGTGACTCATGCATGCTAGGCAAGTTCTCTGCAGATGAGCTACAGCGCCAGCCCACATTCTACATTTCTTATATGGATGCAAGCTTGTCAACTGCCCAGGGACTCTTAGCTCCTACAACTTAGGGACTTTTACTACACCAAGCCTAAAGTAGGATTGTTCTGTCTCTATTGCTTGGTTTATTGTTTCTGCCACTGCAGTTATCTTTTATAGGTACCTGTTAGCCACCACAAGCCTCTATGCTTACATGTCAGTAAGCTGAGCTTCTGTGTGTCCACAGGCAAAAACCACAGCCTGACAGCTCTTAAACTGCCAAATACAGAATCTTTACCAATTCTATCTTGTTCTGAGCTACAAGACACATTTTACAAACCTAAAGGAACACAAATTGTGGGGAGCAGATGAGCCCGTAGTCATCAGCTGATCCTACATTGTGGCAAAGGCCAAGCCTGGGAAACATTCCTTGCCAAAGGCGAGGATGTGAACAGTCTTGACACTTGGCTCTGACTTCACAGACTTCAGTTATCAAATGTTCCAGTACAATGCTGTTTCTGGGTACAGCAGTTTCTACCTCTGTAACTTTTTAGTGCACAAAGAAGCTTCTTAATAACTCACAAGCTTTGAATTTGAACACTTTACAATGCCCCAATAGTTAAACTTCCTGATTAGGAGTCCCTATATAATAAACTTTTTTTTTCCTATATAATAAACTTGCAGAGCTAGTTCTGGGTCACTGTTCCTCCATCAGAAGGCAGTGTCCCACCTGGCCCCAGCTTTGCTTAAAAATGTCTTTGTGTTTTTCTCCATCTCCAGTCCCCAGTACTCAAGATCCTTTGTTGAAGTTTCATGGGCCGCAGCAAGAAATCATAGTCAGTTGCTCACTTTCTATACTGAAAGACCATACTGAAATGAAACCAGACATCAGTAGCATAAACATAGCTGGAAAATGTCCAAGAAACTGCACACTCCATGGTTGAATGGCACAGGCATTGAAAGAAACAATACCAAAGAAATTTAAGTATTTTGAAATATGTGAACATGAACAAACATGTTAACATCACTTGTGGGATACAGAAAAAGCAGTGCATAGGGAGGAAACTTAAAACAATGAATGCATGTATTAGAAAAGAAGAAAGACCTTTAATCAACAGTTTAATGTACCACATTGGATAACTGCCAAACCAGAGCAAGATAATTTTAAGTAAAGCACAGAAAAATAACTTGGAAGAAATCAACCAATTTCTGGAAAGAAACAACCCACACTATCTCACTGAGGAAAGATAATCAATGTAAATAAGGCGCTATGTATTACAGAAACAATAGCAACTCAACAACAGGGAGAAGCAGGCTTACTGGTCTCTTTGGCTAATTCTAACATTTAATAACACCAATCATCACAATTTCTCCAGGTAATAGATGTTAAAGTACTTCTTAATAATGTATGAGTCCTATAGGGCCATGATACTAAACTAGATAGACATTATAAGAAACAAAATAAATAGATATATAGAGAGATAAAGGAATGACTGAGGTTCTCAAAAGAAAGAAAGAACAAACGAACGAACGAACTGGGGATGTACCTCAGTGAGAGTTCCCTGGGTTTCAATCCCAGTACAGGGGAGGAGAGAGAGAAGACAAAAATTTTTTATGAATAAGGATGAAAAAATCTTCAACAGGGTCTGGGGATAGCTCAGCAGTAAAGCACCTGCCTAGCACAGATGAGGCCCTGACTTTGATCCCCAGCACTGCAAAAATAAATATATAAATAAATAAGAAAAAAGCCCAGAACAAATAATGGTATATTACATCTATCCTTATTTAAACACAATACTCCAACAAAATCCAAGTAGAAATTCTTACAAGTATTTTTCAAAAATATTTTGTTGTCAATAGACCTTATTTTATATATTTGTACATGGGGCTGAGAATCGAACCAGTGCCTCACTAGGAAAGCATCTACCACTGAGCCATAACCCCAGCCCCTACTATAAAGAATGACCAAACATTAAAAAGTCAACTCATGTAATTGATCATTTCAACAAGATAAACAACAAACCTTTTCCAATCTGCCATCTGGGACCACCACCGAGATGCAGATTTTTGTAAAAACCCTTACGGGGAAGACTAATACACTCGAGGTTGAACCCTCGGACACTATAGAAAATGTAAAAGCCAAGATCCAGGATAAGGAAGAATTCCTCCTGATCAGCAAAGACTGATCTTTGCTGGTAAGCAACTGGAAGATGGACGTACTTTGTCTGACTACAACATTCAGAAGGAGTCCACCCTTCATCTTGTGCTGAGGCTTTGTAGTGGTGCTAAGAAAAGGAAGAAAAAGTCTTACACCACTCCCAAGAAGAAAAGCATAAGAGAAAGAAGGTTAAGTTGGCTGTCCTGAAATATTATAAGGTGGATGAAAATGGCAAAATTAGCCACCTTCATCCTGAGTGTCCTTCAGATGAATGTGGTGCAGGAGTTTTTATGGCCAGCCACTTTGACAGACACTATTGTGGCAAGTGTTGTCTGACTTACTGCTTCAACAAACCAGAAGACAAGTAATGTATTTGAGATAATAAAAGACATGAACTAAAAAAGATAAACAACAAAAACTCTAAGATCAAACCAATAGGTACAGAGAAACCATAAGAAATAATAATGATAGTCATTGAGACTGAGATGAAACAAATAAAGAATGACTTCTCACACGTGCCATTATTGCCTACCTACAAAATCCCAAAGAACCAACAAAAACTCCTGCAATTAATACTGGAGTGTAGCATGGTTGCAAAACACACAGGACCTTAATATACACACAGGACCTTTCTGTATATCAAGTATAAAAAAAAAAATCAATGTCAAATTAAAAACAACACCACTGAAACCGAACAAAAAGCTGGACAAAGAGACAGAGAAACAATTTCAGAAAAATGAAGGATCACTTAAGAAAAACGCTCAAGGGCAGAGGTAATCAATGAAAGATACATCTTAGTGCCTCCGGAGGCTGAGAGAAAGGAGGATCTCAAGTTCAAAGCCAGCTGCACCAACTTACTGACAACCATGTCTCAAAATAAAAAAGAAAAAGCGCTGGGGATGTATGTAGTTGAGTAAAGTGTCCCTGGGTTCAATCCCCACTACAAAAAAACACGGAGGTGGGGGATAGGTAGTGCTTGGGGATATGCCTCAGCGGTTAAGGACCCTGAGTTCAATGTCGGTAGCAAACCAACCAACCAACCAACCCAAGG